GTGCCCTCTTTGTCCCCAACCCTGCGTGTTTGCTGTGTAACATCCAGCGTATTCATCGGTTCATCAGAAACTACAGTCTTTCTTTACTCACAAGTTGTTTGTCTCATCCCTAGAATGGAAGTTCCGTTAAAGCAGTGGATTTTTATGCCCTGCTCGTGACTAGATTCCAAGCGGACTTGTTGAATTAATAACAAAGAAAGGAGCTGGTGTTGTGGTGACAGGCAAGATGCCCAGGATGGCCCGGAACGTGCTGCTCCCTCGGGCTCGAGTCCCTCGGCTCCCGGACCAGACCGGGTCCAGAGAGCCCACGTGGGGCCTGGCACAGAGCTGCGAACTTCTCCCTTTACTGACCGAAGACACTCAGACAAACAAAACCCACCAGCCATGAGCTATCACCATGATTTCAGGGGCCAAAGGACCCCTTAACGTCCAGAGAGTGGAAGCCACGTGAACTCAGAAGACACGGAGGGTCCGTCACACTTCCTGCTCTTGTTTGACCCTGATGGCAGGCGCTGTCACCCCCACCCGCATGGGGACGGGGCTAGTGCTGTCTTGGTTCCAGCTCAGCCTCCGAGAGGCGCGGGGGGCCGGGGCTGGCAGCGGGGTCCCGCGTGTGCCACGTCCTCACGACCTCCCGCGGCTGTGCGCGTGCGCTCACCGGGACTTTGGTGGCTGGGCGCGTCTCCGGTAGAGCTGGAACCCGAGCCTGGAGCCCCCCACCCCCGCCCCGACTTTCCTCGTCTTGTCACCCACGAGCACATTGTGACTGGCATTCGTGGCCCTGAAATGCTCTCCAGGGGCGAAAGCCAGCCTGGCAAACAGATGCTGACTGTCCGCTTTCTTTCGCCTTCTTTCCATGCAGCCTGAACGCTCCCCACCAGCCCTCTCTGCAAAGCCTGCTGGCCTAGTTGTGTAGCAGGGATAAATTGGCCCCGTCGGTCTCCAAGCAGGGCAGAGATCCTTGGAGCGCCTGGGTGTCTGTGGGCCCTGGGCCTCTGGCGCGCTCGCCGCGGCGGCCCAGCCAAGTCGTCGGGCTCCGGGGAGGCATCGGACCCTCCCTGGGCCCTGGCCCGGTGTCCTCTCCGCCACAAACCGGCCCAACCACTTGGGCCGACCTGCGGCCAAGTAGGCCGTAGCTCCATGGGGCCTCCCTTGAGGGGAGCGGCCTGGGCCAAAACGGGGCAAAGCGTGGGGTCCCCGGTGACCAGCAGCCACCGGGCAGAAGCCAGCTCTGGGAGGGCCTGGAAGGCTGGGGAGCGGTGGAGCCGGCTTGCAAAGGAAGAATGAGTCTCGGAGTGTTGGAGTGGAGAAGCCAGGCAAGCAACACTGTGCCTCAGGAGGAGAATGGGGCGGTGGGAGAGGCCAGAGGACGGCTGGGTGAGGGCACGGGGCCCCAGGGACAACGTCGATGGTCACGGCTCCTGGTTGCAGGGCATTTCCCGAGCCAGGCTCTGTATCTACTGGGTGACCCATCTTATCTCACAGAAAACACACCAGGGCCTTGTGGCGTAGGCACCCGTTTTGCAGATGAGGAAACTGAGGCTCAGAGAGGGGATGCCACCTGGTGCTGGCTGTTAGCGGAGTGCGGGCTCCAGGGTGTAACTCAGGAGGGGGGGCCGCGTCAGAGGTGACCACAGAGGTGCCTGGGGGGACCGGGGGGCCCTTGCAGGGTGCCGGTGACTCTAGGCTGGGGGACAGGGTGCCATTCTTAGTGCATGGAGTGGGAAGAAGGCGCTGGTGAGGACAGGCCCTCCCTGCCTCCCTCCTCCTTGTGGGTGCGGGGATGTGGGGGGTGGGGCTCACTCCAGCCCAGCCCTCCTGCCCCTCACTGGCTTCAGAGCCTGAGTCCACCTGGCCGGGGGTGGGGCTGGGCAAGTGGCCAGCACAGAGGAGGATCGGCGTCACTGCCGCACGAGCAGCAGCAGTGACCCCCAGCCCCCCTCCCCTCCGGGTCCTGAGACGGCCAGCTTGTCCCCCCTCCCCCGGCAAGGGGAAGGCATGGCTGCTATTTGCTGCTGGCTCGTGGCGGGAGTCGTCCAGGACGACTCGCTGTGAGCTAAGCAAGCAGCCGGTGGGTGCCACCAAAACCTTGTGTTAATTCAATGGGTGGAGGCAGCCGTGTCCCATCTGCGCTCCGTGTGGGGACTGATCGGAAACCCCGCGGGGCTCTGAACGCAGGCCGTGCTGGGACGCGGGGGGCCCTGGGCTCGCCCCGCGGGGGTGGCTGCGGGCCGCATTCACGGCAGGAGCGGGTCTGCAGGGGGGGCTCTCTATGCTCCCGTGGCCCTCGACACCCGCTGTGGGTCCCGGCACCCGGGAGAAGTGCCGGGTTCCAACGCCAGCCCTGCCTCCTGCGGGCCAAGCGAGTTCACCTGCTGGAGCCCTGTTTTCCTCACCCGGGAGCAGGCGCCGTCTGGCTCAGAGGTGCCACGAGGCTCCTACAGGCTACGTGGGGGGCGCGGACGGCCCAGCGGGCTCAGCCGGGCCCCGGGAGCGCTCAGTAAGCGGTGTCTCCCCCGCCCCCACCTTGACCTTCCTTCCTGCCTCGGGCCCCTGGGGACCTGTGGGCGCCGGGTCGCCGCTCTCCTGTGGGCCACGGTCTCTCGTGACTCCAACAACCCGGACTGACTCAGCATTTCCGAGCCCCTGCCCTGCGCAGTCTCTCCCATGTGCCAGGAGCAAGCAGGAGACATGGTTCCGGGGGCGCCGTCTTGGGGGGAGGGTTGGCCCATCCAAGGCCTCTTGGGGAAGTGACTGCACGTGCTGGGGAAGGGGCTCTGGAGGCTACGCAGGGAGGTGGGATGTGCGCGGTGGTTGGCCAGGAAGGCTCCCGCGAGGCCACGTTAGGAAAACGGAACCAGTACTCCGTGGCTTTCTAAAAAGGCGTGGGAAGTTACAGGATGACAAGGCAGTGGAAGGCGGGTTGTAGGCAACTGTCACTGTGACCGTTCAGGGCACAGATTCTGGAACTCGTCGTCTGGGTTTGCATCCTGGACCCCCACCCCCACCCCCACCTGGGAGCTGTATGAGCCCGGGCAAGCATCTTATCTCTCTGTACCTCTGTGCTCTGGCTTGAAAAATGGGGGTCATGCTGATCCCTGCCGTCTGGGTTGCTGCGAATTTTCGAGCGTGGACAGACGCGGGGCCCTTCGCGTGTGCCGGCCTCTGGGGAGGGCCCTGTCCCTGTTGGCCATCAGCACTGGGAGTTTGTTTTCTCTCTGACCTCAGAGCAGGGCTGATGTCCCCGAGGAAGCCACTCGGAGAGAGGGGCCGGCCTGGAGTTCTGAGGGGGTTATGAGCGGCGAGAAGGGCCCTCGTGAGCCTGCTTGGAGCAGCTGAGGCTAATGAGGTCAGGCTCCTTCCCGAACCCCAGGAGAGGCCAAGGAGGCGAGGGAAGAGAACAAAGAGGCAGCAAGAGAGGGTCAAGGCCAAGGCCTCCAGGAAACTTCCTGCAGGCAGCCGGCCTGGTTACCAGTGGGCTAGCCCTGGACTGCAGTGGGGGAAGGAGGAGCCCCAACAGAGAGGCTCAGTCTCGGGGGGACTGCCCGGGGAAGCCAGCCAGCATCATGGTTCCGGCTGGGGGCATCCAGTCTGAAACCCCTCGCCGACCCAAGTTCAGGGCCTTGTTCTCTGCTCTGCCCGGCGATGATGTCTGCACCTCTGGGGAGGGGAGGGAGGTGCAGGAGGGCTCCCCCCACCCCAGCCCAGCCAGAAAGAGTGGCCCACTTGCAGGGGACCCTCCCCAGCCCCCCAATTCCATCAGCACGGGCAGGGCAGAGCGGGCCGACGGTGGTGGCCGGGGGGCCCTGCCCAGTTCAGGGCGGGGCTGGGAACCCCTACTCCGATACTCTGGGGTCAGCCTGGGGCTTGTAAGGGGGTGGCCGGCCGCCTGGTGGACCTTCCTGCCGGGCCCCTGGAGGGGAAGGAGGGCCAGGAGCCTCCCCAGCAGAGGCGATTGGGCCCTGGCCTTGATTTTGGCACTTAAATTCCCTGTGGGCCTGGAGTTGGCTGCAGAGAGCCAGGTGCCCACCTGGCTGGTGTGCTGTCAGCCCAGAGGACTGGCAAGGGTTTGGGGGTGGGCGGTGGGGGGCAGGGCCCTGGCCGCGGAGGGCAGCCTGGGTCTGGCCTCTAGAAAAAAGCTGGGAGAAACAGCCCAGGGTGTGCCTGGGGGCCACTGGACCCGGCCAGGGCACCCCGGCGGCTTGCCCTCCCTTTGCTGCATGACCTTGGGCGGTCAGTTCTGTCTCCCCATCTGAAAATGGGGTGAATGGTAGCCCAGGGTCCCAGGGGGCTCTGGGGGCAGTGGGGACACACTCAGTAGGTGCTCCATCGAAGCTGTCAGTTCTCGTCGGGAGAGTGGGAGGGGCCAAGCTGTTTGCAACGGGGAAACTGAGGCTGGCGAGTGGGTGGTGAGCCCAGCCTGGACGGAGGGTCCTTTTGTCCCGGCGTGGGAGCAACAAACGCACGGCGGCCCCTCCCCCTGTGTCTGCCCCCCCCCCCCCCCGCCGCGCCCCATCCCGGCCTCTCCCCAGCTCACAGGTTAGACCCAGCGTTCCACGAGGTGGGGCTCTCTTTGCGACTTCAGGGGTCCCCAACCCCCATGAGGGGCCGGCGTGGACAGATGGACTGAGGGCAGCTGCACAGAGCCCTCCCCCTTCCTGCCCCCCACCAAGCCATAGCCATTCCCCAAGTCCTGATTTTTCATTAAAACAGCAGCGGGCTCCCAGCCGCCCAAGGTCATGGTGGGGCTGCGAGGGGAGCTGAATGTGGGCCATTACGCGGGTCTCTAATGTCCCTGCGGCCGCGGCTGGCGCGATCAAGCACCGGGGACACTCCAATTTCCGCCTGTCCCACGGCGATCGTATCAGTGCCTGAGTGATCTCCTTGCTGGCGGGCGGCGGGGACGCAAGGGGGCAGCGAGCCCGGCCACCCAGCAGCCCTCCCTTGGGAACAAAAGGATGCACCTTGTGGCTGGCTGGGCGGAGAAACGGCAGCACGGGTCTCCCTTGTCCCCCTCGGCCATGCTGAGCTGGAGCCTGGTATGTCTGGGCCGGCCGGGTGAGGGCAGGCACAGCCCCTGGGTGCCACCCACACGGGGAGGGTGCACAGAGAGGGTAGAGCCCACGCCCAGCCACCCCCGGACTCCAGGTTTGAAAAAGGCCCGTGACTCTGGGTGGGAGGCAGCAGTCGGCAGCGACACTGACCTGCTGAGTGCATGGGTGTTCGGGTGGGGGAGGGGGTCTGGTGACCCGGGGTCCCCGAGCCTCGCGGCTCCCCAGCAATTGTCATGATTGCCCAGATGTCCGCACATAGCCGCCTGTGTGGAAGGGGCTCAGTTCCAGAGCTGGTGGCTGGGAAGCCTGTTCTGGGCTGAGAAACTATTTTCTGGAACTTGGCTAATCGAAAACCGGAAACAGCCCAGCTGTCCTTCGACTGGGAAACAGATAAACGGCCCAGGCCCGTGCCTGCGAGGGGTGGCGCGCGGCGATTCAAAGGCTGCGGCCCCGTGGGTGAGCCTCGCGGGCAACGTGCCGGCTCCAAAGACCGCACGCCGCCTGTTCCACCGCCGTGGCCGAACCACGGCCACGCAAAGCGCAGCGGATGCTGCCGGTGGCCCGGGGGGGCGGGGGGTGAGCTGGACGCACAGGGGAGTTGGGGGTGTCGGGACGCACAGCGGTTACGTGACCACGTGCGTGTGTAAGACTCTCAGAACCGAACGCGGAGAAGGGTGAGCTTTGCCGCGTGTCCGTTATACGATAATAAAACAGCAAAAAGGATTCTTTTCCTTTGCTGCAGACACAGTCGGCAGCCTGGGACGGGTCTGGGCCAGACGCCCCGCTGGGAAACCCTGTCCCTCTGTCCCTCTCTGGGCTCTCAGGTGGCTCTCTGCCCCGCCCTCCCCCCCCCCCGCCCGGCCCAGCCTCCTGGCCTCCCTGGCCTGTTGGGGACTTTCCCCAAACACCAAAAGCAAACCTGCCCCCAAAAGATGCCGGTGTGGGGGGCGGGGGTGGAGGTCGGAGCTGGCATCTCACAGCTACTCAGCTCCCGGGCCCGCTTTCCCATTCCAGTCAGATGGCTGGAAGCTGACGGGCTAATGAAGCATCGGGGCCCCTTCCAAGGTGGGGGCTTCCCATTTGCCCTTCCATAGCAGTAACTGAGATTATAGGGAGGCTCCCGGGAGGGGTCTGTCCCCCATTTCCCGCCGGCATCCGCCTCCCTGTCCCCCCCAGCTCCAGAGCCACATGCAGGGCCCCACCCCCCGAGCCCCCCACTCCCTGGCCACCAACAGCCCCCTGCGGGAATCGCGCGCCGATGGGATTAGCGACTGTGGATGGGTCTCCCTCCCTCCCTCCGTCTGCAGGAGTCACGAACCTTTGCCTCGGCCCCCGTAGCACGTGGCTGCTCTCACGGTCGCCTGTGTGTGCAGTGTCGCATCGTGCTCTTGGCCCCCTGTAACCGTGCTACGTATGTCCCCCCACAGGGCAGGGGAGCCCCCACCGGCCCCCCTCGAGGATTGGGAGTCTCTCACCTCCTTGTGGGCCCCGGAGGGGGGGCTCTTTTGGTGGAGACACACGTTTGATGAGCACCTACTGTGTGCCAGCCCCGTGTGGAGGGTCCGGGCTGTGCGGTGCCGAGGCCACCAGACAGACAGACTGCCGTGCAGCCGGGAGGGCGTGAATCACAGTGACAGCAACTGCTTTCCAGTGTCCGTGTGCCCGGCTCTGGGTGCTTCCGGAACGTTCTCATTTTACAGATGCAGAAGCAGAGGCCAGGAGAGCCCGGGGCCACCTGCCCGGGTTGGGAGGGCGCTCGGAGCGTCCCAACTGTGGCTGCACAGGAGAGCATCCCTTCTGACCCCTGCCCTCACTCCTGCCCTCACCCCTCCCCAGACCAGGTGTAGGAGCATCCTGCATTTTGTAACGTTCCCAGGCGATTTGCTGAGCAGCCTGGATCCCTGGATGGACCCCTCCGCACTCCCTTGACTGTCCTGAAATGAAAATCACAGGAAATAAAACTCACTTCGCGTAGGATCTCGAAAAAAGTCAATATAACGTTCTGAGTGTAATATAAAGGGTATATTACCATGGTTAAAGGGGAATCATTGATACTCAGGTACTGTGTCTTTCTTTTTTTTTTTTTTATTTTTTTATTTTTATTTTTTTTTCAACGTTTATTTATTTTTGGGACAGAGAGAGACAGAGCATGAACAGGGGAGGGGCAGAGAGAGAGGAAGACACAGAATCGGAAACAGGCTCCAGGCTCTGAGCCATCAGCCCAGAGCCCGACGCGGGGCTCGAACTCACGGACCGCAAGATCGTGACCTGGCTGAAGTCGGACGCTTAACCGACTGCGCCACCCAGGCGCCCCTAGGTACTGTGTCTTTCGATGTGTGAGCGCCCGCCCCATCTCCAGCAGGAAGCCTGGCCCCGGGGCACGGAGCCGCAGTCCGGCCGCAGCTGGAGGTGCCCGGGAGACTGTGGGCGGCCGTTGCCGCGTCTGTGACATGACTTCCCCAAACGGTGACGTTCCCAACAGAGCAAAGCCTCTTACCCTCAGGTAGGTGCTTTCCTGGGAAGCCCAGTGGTTCTTGAACACGCACCCGAGACTCTCGCGGATTGTGAGCCTCCAGTTTGGGTAAATCACAAACAGCCTTTCACGTCCCAGGACGTCAGTGGGACATCCAGAGCTGGGGTGAGACTCGGGCAGTGCTGTTGGCGTGGGTCTACACGACGAGGGGTCCCCTTACTGCTCACGGAGCCACATCGTGCTCGTCGTGAGGACCCCGGGAGCACTTCCTGACTCCAAAACACCCCTTTGGAGCCAAGGCCACCAAGATGTTTTTCTTTTTTTTTCTTTTCTTTTCTTTTCTCTTTCCTTTCCTTTCCTTTTTTTTTAACGTTTATTTATTATTGAGAGACACAGAGAGACAGAGCATGATCAGGGGAGGGGCAGAGGCAGAGGGAGACACAGAATCCGAAGCAGGCTCCAGGCTTCCAGCTGTCAGCACAGAGCCCGACGCAGGGCTCAAACCCACGGACCCTGAGATCATGACCTGAGCCGAAGGCAGATGCTTAACGGACGGAGCCCCCCAGGCGCCCCTGAAACCACTGAACTTTTAACCATCACGATGTAGTCTGTGGGAAACAAGGAGCCTGAACAGAGGGCGCCTTCACCTGCTGGGGGCCTGGTGGCTCACCCGTGTGACCGGCAGAGTTTCCAGAGGCACAGAGAGTGGGCAGGGCGACACCAGCAGGACAGAGCACAGGAGACTCGAGGCTGGGGCTGGGGTGTGGAAAGCCAGGCACTCGATCCGGGCTCCAGGGAGCCCCACAGTCAAGAGAAATCACGCTTTAATGGAATATTCTTAGAAGTTATAATTAATTTAAAATACCCACAGTGAACAAAACACCCCAAATACCCAATAAATAAAATAAATACATAAAATAAAATAAATAAATTAAATAAATAAAATTAATTAATTAATTAATTAATTAAAAGAGGGTCAGAACTGGTCTCCTTCCCTTTCGCCTCAGCGAGGCAGGCTGCTCAGGGCTGTCTCCTTGGCAGAGGGTGTCATCCGCTCGCAGTGGCCCTACGGCACGTGGCCCCGTCACGTTCAGAGCATTCCAGGCCCTTCGTGGCCACACCGCCGAGTACCCGTCAAGGTGGGGCCTAACTTTGCTGCCTTGTTGGGTCCCTGTCTGACAGACTCAGAGCCCCGTGGCCTGGCACGGGAGGCGGGAGGCCAGGGTGATGGCCCCTTGGGTGCCACGCTCCTCTGAGAGCTACCGGGGCACTCAGGGGCTCTCGGGCCCCCGTGGGCATCTGTGAGGTCCATCGGGGCGGTGTCACTTCACCCGAAAGGCCGCGTGACTCTGGTGCTGGTGTGGAACCGGCTGTGCTGGCCTGCTCGGGGGGCTTTGCAGTCTCCTGGCCCCTTCAGGGGCGCACAGAGGTGGGAAGCCCGCTTGCTGGGTGCCCTGCAGGGCACAGGGGTCAAGTGTCCTTGGCCAGCTGGCCACACCAGGCCAGTGAAATCGTCCCTGGGCCTGGGTGTGAAATGTTTAGAACCCACCTCAGGAGGCTCAGCCGGGATTGAGAGCCAGTGCACCTGTGAGTCTCGGGGGGTAAGTTGCTCTGGTGCCTGCTGTCATCAGGCTGCCCCCGACCCTTCCCGGGTCAGGGGTGGGAGCAGGGGGCGGGGACAGGCAGCGTGGTAAGGCCTAGCAGCTTGTACTATATTCGTCTTCCTTTGGAAACGCCTTCACCACCTTGTTCTTTCGGGAAGCAGTGATTCCTGATGAGCCAGGTCATATGCCGCTGTGCGACCCGGGGTGAGCCCGTGCCGGGGGGGCCTCACCTTGCGCAGGGGCTCCCCAGCTGCGCGTGTTCTCCGCGTCCCGGGGCGGACCCCAAGCGGGTGCCCCATCTCGCAGAACCGAAGGCTGAGGGACAGAGGAGCAAAGTCAGCCACCCGGAGCCCCTCGCGGGTCGTGTGTGCGCGGGTCCCGGGCACCTGCCCCCCACCGGGCCGTGACCCTCTCTGTCTGGAGGGCTGAGACCTTTCTGTGCCCTCTCGACGTCGTCCCCCGGAGCCCTAGAGGGCAGCTTCTCGGAGGCGCAGCCTGCTCAATCTGTCTGGCTGGCACTGCTTCACAGCTGTTATTGCATTTCGCGCCGAGTGGCTCGGATTTACTGGGTTATTGGCTCATTTTTCATGCTGCATCTGTAGTAACGAGACTTGGAAATGAAAAGGGTGTGACGCCACCCCGTGATGGAAGACGGTCGAGCCCGGGGGCCGGGGAGCCCGGAAAGGGCTCTGGACGGGTGGCGGGGCCGGGAGAGCGCTGCCTTCGACTCTGGGCAGAGACCAGCGTGGCCCCGTGGCCCCCCGTCTTCCCAGCTGCCAAGTGAGAGGGTCAGACCCGCCTTGAGAGTTTTACGGCGCGTAGTAGGTATTCAGTAAGTGTGGTTATGATTATGGCTATGATAGGTTTTAACCGTAACATATATTTTATGAGTCATAAAATAATAGCGCTGTTTCATTTGGGGGACCTCCCCGAAAACATAAATACGGGAAGGAACCATGAAACGGCTTGAGAATAGCGTCCTCTCTGATATTCAATTATCTTCCCCTTCCCTCTCTCCCTTCGTCTGCAATCTGATTATTTTGGCTCCCACAATGCACTTTGCCAACACATCGGAGTCTCTCCTGAGAGCAAAGGGGCCCTGTAAGGAGCTCGGACGGCAGCCGCTCTCTGTGGCGGTGGGGGTGCGAGCGAGACCTCTTAAAAAGACCCTTTCGTTCTTAAGATCCACGGGCCGGCGGAGTGCTGGGAGAGGCTGGCCCGCCGTCTCCGTGCCGCTGTCTCCATTTTACGGACGGGAAAGACCGAGTGACCGGCCCAAGGTCACAATGCAATTCAGCAGCAGGGCTAGGTTTCGAGCTCAGGTGTCCGGATCGGCAAGTGTTCTCCGTTTCAATACTCAGGCATCATCTGGCAAATATTTACCTGCCTCCGAGGCTCAGTGCTCGGGCGAGCCTGCAGGGACCACGCCAGGCCCCACGGAGGCCACGGCAGAAAAGACAGGTGGATGAAACCACAGATCACATGACCTAAATGCGGCCAAGGGCTTCGAGGAAAGGCCACAGGGGGCTGCTTGGGTGGCCGGGGCCGGGCCTTCTGTGCGCGGGGTCAGGACGGCCTGGAGGAGGCCACCCAGATGGGGCAGACGCATAGGGACAGGTGCCTGCTCTGGACAGACGGGGCGGCAAAGGCCGGGGGGCTGGAGGGGGGGCCCGGGAGTGTTGTGCAGCGTCCTGTGCTGTTTCAGCCGTTTGCAAGGTTTCCACGTAGGCTTGTGATGTGGATCTCGCCCTCTGCCTCAGCTGCAGATGGGATCTGGGTGCCGGGGCCAGTGCGAGGCTCCCGCGACGGGCCGCCCGCCCACTTGCCGCAACCAGACCCTCCTCAGGGGCGCAGGTGTCCCAGGTGGATGACGGCTGCTGGTCAGAGAAAGCACCGAGCCCACCCCAAGAAAAGTCGGGGCGCCTGGGGGGGCTCAGTCGGTGAAGCTTCCGACTTCCGCTCCGGTCATGCTCTCACGGTTCACGGGTTCGAGCCCCGCGTCGGGCTCTGTGCTGACAGCTCGGAGCCCGGAGCCTCCTTCGGATTCCGTGTCTCCCTCTCCCTCTGCCTCTCCCCTGCTCGTGCTCTGCCTCTGTCTTTCAAAAACGAATAAACATTAAAACAATTTAAAAAAAATTGAGGAGAGCCAAGCGCTCTGAAAAGCCAGTCCCTGGGTCACGTGGGAGTCTCGTGAGAAGGAGGGCGGTCCCGTGCACTTTTCCCTAACACCTGCCTGTGTTCCCGGGGTTGCCAGGCCCCCCAGGGCCCTGACGAAAGTGAGGCTTTGCAGATTCCTTGCCAGGTATGTTTCTTGCTGGTCCGGCGAGGTTTTTCACGTACTGGGTGGCTGCTCCAGCCTGTCCAGGGCAGACCTCGGGCCTGAGCCCAGCCTCCCCTCATCCCCGAATCCCAGCAGGCAGTGGGGGCCCGTCCCGCCGAAACGAACCCGGCTGGACACCCGCTTTGTTCTTCGGCGTCCGAGGTCTGTGTGACGGTGTGGACTCACCGTGCGGGAGAGCTTCCACGTGGCAGGAGACAAAGGTCCTGTGGCCTCATTCTATCCTTATCCCCGCTGGGCAAAAGCCAGGAGGGTGTCCAGGCGGTGGTGGCTCAGTGAGAGAGCCCAGGACCCACCTCACAGGTGGCCACGTGTGGCCGGGGCCTTCTCCGTGGCTGCTGTGGGGGGCAGGCCCTCTCTCGGGGCAGCCAGCCTTACGCCAAGGGTCCGGCTGCCTCCGAGGAGGGCTCTCCCGGGCAGGAATTAGGAACGGGAAATCTGGGGGGATCCAGAGAAGGCAGGCGAGGGGTGTGGCGGGGAGGTGGGGAGAGAGGCAGGCTCCCTGGGGCGTCCCGGGAGGGCGGGGGCTCTGCTCTGACCCCTGTGGGTTCTCCAGCGGAGCACGTGCTCTGACCCCCAGGTCTGACCCCAGGCTCTTGCAAAGCCGCCCTCCCGTAAGTGAGCTCCGATGGGACGCAGCCCTTCCCACGGCCCCCAGGACACAGCCAGGACATCGCGCTTTGAGGAGCAGCCAGCCTGCGCCCTCCACCCTGCCCCGTCCCACCCCGCTGACCGGTTGCCCTGCCCCGAGTTTCAGGGGTCAGATCCCTGCACACGCTGGAGAGGTAAAGGAGGCACGGTGTCCGGGGCCTCTCCCCGGTGAGTGTTGCATGTGTCCCGTTGTCAGTACGAATTTCCTCCCTTCAAGGAATTTTGTTTTATTGAGATGGAATTCACATGCGATGGACGGAACGAGTTTAAAGTGCACAGTCCAGTGGCATTTAGCGCGGTCACGGTGCGGCACAGCTAAGCACCTCTTTACCCGGTTCCGAAACCTCTTCATCCACCCCAGGAGGAGCCCCGGCCCCGAGCCCGAGCCCCAGCCACCGCCAACCCGCCTCTTGCCTCTGTGGATTCGCCGACTCCCGACGCTTCGTGTAAAAGGGACTCGACACCACGCGACCTTTCCTGTCTGCCTTCGCTCACGCGACATGACGCGTCGGGGGCTCTCCGTGCTGTGGCATACGCCTTTTCCTGCTTCTTCTCTTGGGGGCCGTGCGGGTGGAGCCAGGATTCTGGACGCGGCTCCTGCGTCTTGCCCGCCCCCGGGCTCCCCATCCCGTCTCCGCCTCCTCCATGAAGCCTTCAAAGGGCGGTCCCCTCTGGCCCGTCTGCCCGGGTGAGGACCTCAGCCTCGGCCTCTGAGCTTGAGCACCTGCCAGGCAGTGAGCTCAGGTTGCCCTTCTCCGTGGGTCCTCCCGGCGGTGTGCACAGTGGGCACTTTATAAGTGGCCAGGTTGTGACCCTCGACGGGCCCCTCCCGGTTGCGGCCGACGCCAGGACGTGGCTGCGGCCCGGGGCAGACCAGGACCAGCGGTCACCGGAGGGGCCCCGATGCCTCGCAGCGGTGGGCCAGGCGGCTTATCCAACCTCTTTCTGACTTCGAGGAAAACCACATGCTCGGAAACTAAGATGTTGCCGGGAGAGCCCGAATGTCTGCCCTCTCTTCTGGAGAAACAGATGATTATTTTCCTTTCCTTTCCGTCTCCCCCCACCGCCCCATAGCCGAGCAGATGTTAACTCTCCAATAAATGGAAGGGAAAGAAAGAAAAAAAGACGAGAGACATTTAGCAAACTATAGCTGCGCAGGCCAGAGTTATCACTCTGATTTCAACTGGGACTATAAAATTTTATGAGCTATTAAATTGTCCTAAAGCTCCTTTAACATACAAACTCGAGTGTCTGAGATTACCCATTAAGAAAAAGTGGGTTACATCGGGAGAACTTTTACTATTTCCACTCGATCGTGTTCAATCAATAAAACTTCTAACTAGCCGTGCTGCTTTGGGCAGATTACATGGGTCCTGCAGTGGACCTGCCGGCCGGTGGCCTGGACACGCCCCGAGCGTGGCCACAGCTGGACGGCAGGGCTCCCGGCCCAGGAGGGTCACTCGAACCTTCCTGAAGGTGCTGCTTCCTGCCTGGGGTTGCACGACGGCCAGGCGGATTGGGCTGGAGGTGGGGCCCAGAGCCCAGCACGTGGCACGGAGGCGCCCGCCAAGAAGGCCACCGGGAGCCCAACGACAGCGCCTTGGTGTGGACACGGGGCTCTGAGACCTCCCGAGCGGGACGAGGACCCCACACCAGGCGGCCTGGAGCGGGGGGTGGGGGTGTGTGGGGGGGGGGGCTGGTTGTCTCGGGAGGCGGGGGAGAGGGAGGACCCTGCTAAGGAGGACGGTGCTGGCCTGCCGTGTGCCGAGCACGTGTCACACGTGTGTCCCCCGAGCTAGCTCTCCAGGTGGGTGAGTCACCCCTCCCTTTCGGGAGGCGAGCCTGAGGCTCTCAGAGGATGTCCGGGCTCCTGACTGGTGAGCCACATGCTTGACCCCTGGACGCCAGGCCAGGCGTGTCCCTGGGGTGGGGGGCTGAGCCCCGGGGTGGTGGGCATCTCACCAGGGGGATGGATGCAGAAGAGGGGTCCCCTAGCCGGTGGAGGTGCTCTCCCGCGGGGTCGCTCCCTGACCCGGAAGACTGTGGGAAGGCAGCCGCTGCTCCGTGGACAGTCCTCCCGAATCCTCCCAGGACCCCAGCTTGGAAAGGGGAGAGACGCCCGGGGAGGCACAGGCCACGGGGGGGGGGTCTATCTGACCTCGGGCCGCACCAGGGCCTGTCTCCCCGTACCTGGTTCGCTGCTGGCCCAGGGACAAGAAGTAAAACCCACGGCTCCGGGTGTGGTCCTGGCCGATCCCTTCTCCTCTGGCCTCGGCGTCCTCACCCGCAGAATGCGGTGACGGCACCCGCTTCGTGGTGGGGTGCAGGGAGGAGACGGCATCACAGCCGCCTGCACGTGAAAGGGCCGCACTGCAAACAAATTAGATTCTGCGGGAAAAAAAGGAGAGATTTGGGGAACGACGGTGAATGACGGTCAGCCTTGCCTCCTCTCCTGGGAGGAGAAAGCAGGGGGGCGGCTCAAGGTGGCCTGGCGGCCCGTGTGTGACAGGAAGGGTGAGGCCAGGCCGCCTAGGCGGGCCCCCGTGAGCCCAGGGGCAGGGCGAAGTGCCCTCCTGCTGGTGAGCTGCCTGCTGCGGGGAAGGTCGGGTTGCCCCTCGGGGGCTGGGCCCGTGGGCAGGGCCGTCTGTCGGGCCTCACTGCCTTCCCGGCTTCCCAGGTGACAGCCAGGACTGTTCCGGGAGGGGAAGGGTCGGCCCTGAGCCACTGTTGCCCCCGAGGCCCCATTTCTGCCCCGTCACGTCCGGTCCATGGACAACGGGGTGCGGGGGCCCAGGGACACCTATCCTATCCTCCCTGCCCGGCAGCCGTGTCCCCAAACCTCAGGCGCTCAGGGCAGCCGGGAGGCAGGGAGGCTGGGAGGGCTGACCCCGGAATCCAAACCCGTTGCAACAGGCCCATTGGGCAATTCCTGTGGGGCCGTGCTCTGCCCGGAGCTTGGTTTCCTCATCCCGGGGTCTGGATCAGAGCAGACGCGGTTCCCTGGCTCCCTATCACTGTTTACGCGGCCGGCTCTGATCTCCTGAGCCTCTGGGGCCTGTGTCGGCAACGCTCCGGCCCGCGGGTCAGGGACACATTCCTTCCAGGCCTGTGGCCCCGGCCGCCCTGGTGCCTCTGGGCTCAGAGAGGGCTCGGGTCAGAGGCTTCCTGGGGCGGCCCAGGCGGGACAGGGCCGTGTCAGTTTGGATGGCGGGGGGTTGGCGGGGGGGGGGGGGGGTTCCGGGGCTCGTGTCAGAGTGTGGGACAGGATGCGAATGTCAGGCCTGCTGTGGAGGAACGTGCTCTGCCAGATGCCAATTAGCCTGGAATTTGGAGGCCTGTGGCCTCCCCGCCTGCCTGGCGACTGGGGCCATGGATCCACCCCCCACCAGGCCGCTCCCGTGGGACCCTTTCCCCGATTCCTGGAGTCTCATGACCGGGGGACCCTTCTGGGGGTCAGAGGGCTCTCCGCCTCCTGCTCTCGGCTGGGTCTGGTGCAGGCCAGACCCCTGGGATCCTGACCCAGCCCTGCCACTGGCTGGGGGAGAGGCTGGTCAAGTCACTCTCCCACTGTGGGCCTTGAGAAGGGAGGGGAGCCGTCAGAACTGCAAAGCGGACTGTGAATTAGGCAGCACCCCACCTTGGAGCCCAGGGTCTTTCTCTGCTCTGGAACCCCCCCCCCCCTTTGGCTAAAGGCTGACTTCTTTGTCAATAGTGATGCATCTCCAGGGCAAAGTCACTCGACAGCCCACTTTGCAGCCATTTCCACTCTAGTCTGAGTTAGCTCTTCAGCCAGCCTGCGCGCAGAGCCGGGAGGGAGGGGACGGGGTGCAGGCCATTTGTGGCGAGGGGAGTGGGGCAGGCTGGGAGGTGCCTCTGGGGAAGCTGCACATCCTGAGGGTTCCTGGGAAGAGGGCCCCGGGGGGAGGAGGTATGGCCTCAGGCCGGGGGACTGCACGGGGGAAGGGAGGCTGGCACAGGGTGATGGAGCCCGTGCATGGCGACAGCTTTCCCTGTGGGGGGCTGGGCAGCCGAGGAGGGCTGTTTAGCAAGTGTGTGATGGGCTGGCACCCACGTTTTCGGGACGCTGATGCTGACAGTGAACGCGTGGTGGACGGCTGGTGGCCGAGACGGGGGGGGGGGGCTCCGAGCTCTTAAATATCCACTAAACCCCATTGAGAAACACCTGGCAGAGGAGGCTGAGGATGGGGGGACCCGGGACCCTCACGGCCTGTTGGAGAGCTCACCAGCCTTCGGCCGACGTGGCAGCCTGAGTTGGTGGCCCTGTCGCATGGGGCTCCCCCCAGACCTCAAGGCCCCTGTCTCCCTGATGATGAACCTCAGGGCTTGGTGGAGGCGTGGGGGAGGGGAGAGGCCGCTCCGGGGCTCCTGGAAGCTGCTCCTGGAACACCAGCTCTGTGACATGACATGTTGGCAGTGTCCCTGGGGAAAGGGCACTGGGGTACCGAGGTCCCGGGAGCCCGGGTGCAGGTCAAAGGGCATCTCTAGGCGGGAGGTGGAGCCTCTAACCAGACCTGCCCGCCACCCAGCACCCCTCTTGCTCCAGACCACGGCCCCCTCCCCTCGGCGCTCCCTGAAGTCCCGGGGGTGGGGAAGCCTGTTCCTGCTTTCCAGAAGACTCTCAGCTTTGTCTCCGCTTTCCTTGGCGGGCTGGGCGCCCCCTCTGCATCTTTGAGATGCCCCTGGGTCCCCAGAGGGCCATCCTGTGCCTCTCTCGTCTCCTCTTCCTGCTTGGACCGCTTCTCTCTCTCTGCACGGCAGCTCCCTGGGGCCTTGCTCGGAGAATTTCCTCAGGGATCCACACGCGCCTGTTCGTTTCCACAGGCCCGGGAGCCCCCACCTGCCCGCACGGGTCCAGCCACGGCCGGCTCTGCTCCCCACAAGGCAAGGGCCGTGTTGGGGACATCAAGGCGCGCAGGCTTAAGGGGACCCCTCAGGGCTCCGCCGGCCGGGGAGGGCGGCCCCACCCACGGGAGCACCCTAGAGGACACCGGGCACCGGAGGAAGTCCTCCCCGTGGCCCGTGTCCTTCCTTCTGAGGCGGGACTGGTGTCGCACGGAGCTCGGAGCCCCGCACGGGGCCTGGGGCTGCTTCCCCGTCCGCCGAGGGACTGATGAGCCGGGGTGCCCGCCCTGCTGCCCTGACCCCGGCGAGAAGGGACCTGTTCCAGCAACCTCTCCTCCTTTCATGATGGGGAAGGGGGCCGTGGAGGGGCCGAGGGGCTCAGGGTCACCCGGCCGGTGGCCGCTGTGGCCTGCCCCCTCCCCCACCCCAAATCTTCCTAGTCCCCATCGCTCCACCCCCTGCCTCCTCCCCCTGCACCCTCCGCTGAATTTTCCCACCCTGGCTTCCTCCTGCCCAGCCCCCTCCCCCCGACAGGGTGGCACGCTGTGTTCTCCTGTGGCACGCTCACTTGCTCTCTGGCCTCACCCACCTGCCCCCTCCCTGCCCCTCGGAGCTGGGGGGCCCCTGTTCCTCCCTCCCTCCCTTCTCCCCTCCCCAAGGCGGGGTTTGGCAGCCAGGGGTTGGTGACCCAGCCATTTAGCCCTTAGGAGCAGGAGCAGGCCCTGGGTCCAAGGTCTGTCGCTCTACCTACCGTGTGCCCCCGGGCGTGCTGGGTGGGCCGGCGTCGTCTCCCCCAGGGCGGTCCGGGGGCCCGGTTCCCAGATGACGGGGAGGGGAGGCGGTGCAGGGGGGACCCAGCCCGGGGTCTGCCGCCTCCAGGGCAGGGCCAGCAGGTGCTATGTGGACACTGGGGCCCAGGGAGGGGACGCCCAGCCTGACCCCTGGGAGGGGGCCCCCAGACTGTGGCAGGAACACTGCCGCGGCCAAGAGGTCGGTCCCCTGAGCATCAGTCTTGGCGGCTGGGCCCTGTCGCCCCTCCTGGCCTCTCTCCTCCCTGCCGGGACATGCTTGGTGCCTTTGTCGCTTTCCTGGGGCTGGGGGAGGACACCTCGGGCATCAGCAGACCTGTCAGGCACCGGAGGGTGTCCCGAACACATGTCCCGCGGCCCACGGTCAGCGCAAGCCCGAAGACCCGGGGGGCAGCTCGGGGCACGTTCCCCGTCCCTCCCGTGGTGTCGCTGCCTCGCGCCTCACCAGGCCGGGATGTTGGAACAGAAACCACGGTGTCTCCCTCACTCCCTGGGCACTTCAGAAAGTGGACTCATTTGGCCTGTGGTTTCTGAGTGGTTTTGGCCCACAGGTACCCAGAGGCTCAGCCCGGCCGGGGAGTGCCACCCTCCCCCCTTCCCCAGCCGCTGGGAGCCCGAGGGGTGGACCGGCTGGCGGCCCAGGCATTGGCTGGCAGCCGTCACCCCTCACGCCCCCGCAGCCCCTCCCTGCCACCCGTTTCCTAAATGGGCCTCCTGGCGGGGAAGCCTCGTGAAGCAGCCAGGCTCGCAGGGAGCTCCTCTGCCCGCCCGGAGCCGCCCCCCGGGTTTGGGCAGGAATTCAGGGAATTGGCCGTTCCTGCCCCGCTTGGCTCGCCAGCAAAACGGAGGACAGAGCGGGCTCCCGGGCATGAGCCCCGGGGCCTCGACGCATGGAGAGGTGCAAGCTGTGTGTGTGCCCCATCCTCGCTCTGTGGGCAGGCCTGGGGGTGCCGGCCTGGCCTCTCGGGCGGGGAGGGGCGCAGCTCTGGGGCCAGGCAAATAGGGGGCACCTGTGACCTTAGAAGGACGTTCCCCTGGGTTTCAGTGTTCTCCTGCTTCACAAGGTTCATTTCACTTACTCATCAGGCATTAACTGAGCACCTACTATGTGCCTGTCACTATTCTGCCCAGTTCTCCTGCTGCCCCTGCCTGCAGGCCTCATGCATTATCTTCCCCCTACCCCTCAGGCCAGGCTGATGGCCCGAGGCCACACGTGTGTCTCTCGCACAGCGTGGCACCTCTCGCCCGGCCAAGCCCTGGTCTGTGCGTGTCCCTCCAGCAGGGTGAGCCGGCCTGAGTACGGTGCTGTCCCTCCAGCACCCGGCCCTGAGTTGGGCACACGGCCAGGTCTAGCGGTGTGGGGGGGCAGATTATAGGGGGAGGTGACTCCGGCCCCTCCGCCGGGCGAGGCCGAGGGCCCTGACCCAGTCACCGAGCAGGGCCCAGACGTGGCCGCACGCCTCCCGCCTATGATGCAGAGGTGGGCGGTGGCGGCCGTCAGCGCGGTCTGTCAGGCGGACTTCACATCTGCCCTGGCAGGCAGGTGGGGCTCTGCCCATTTTACAGACAAGGCAAGTGACCCCTTGCCTCAGGTCGACAGAGCCGGGAGCGGCTGAGCTGGTTCGAGAGCCCGGCCTTTGCCGGGAAGGCCAGGCTTTGGCGTCCGGACCACGCAAGGGCCCGCCTCTCCCCGCGCCTGGGGCGGCCCCGCAGGGGCTCCTGTGCCCTCGGCACGATTACTGCGCCCAGCGCTCCTGGATGGGCCCCAGGCTCGCCTGCCCGCCCCGCTCGCCTTGGCCGCCAGCCCCTGCAGACGCCCTGCCTCCAGACGCGGGGTCGCCTCGTTCCACGGGCCCTTAATTAGCTCCCCGGGGAGCGGGGCTCCCTGCTCCCGTCCAAGGGCGGTGCTAACCCGGGTCTCCTTCTGCTGGGTTCCCAGGAAGTGCCGGGATGAGCCGGGAGCCGTGCGTACCCACACGCGTGGCAAGCGACACGCACAGACACGGCACCCCCACGCCCCGGGCGCCCGCCCCGGGCTCCCACCTGCCGGCTCACCTACAGAACACACCTCTGCACGCTCAGGCCGCGGTTGGGAGCCCGGGCACACCCGTGGTGGCCTCTGAGGTGACCCAGAGGGAGCTGGGGCCGGGGGCAGCCCGGATGCCCTCCCACACGCACTCCTCCCGCAGCTGGGCCTCCTTTTGCCAGGCTTGTGTGTTTTTCAGTCCTTTGTATCGGCAGAGGCTTTCAAAGCACTTCAGGCTTGTTTACTGAGCTGAGCAAGAACATTTTGTCTCCTCTGCAAGCCAGCCTTCCAGAAGGATCAGGAACGTGCCCGTCTCTGCTCTGGCCGGCCGTGCGCTGTGCCAGCAGCAGCCCCCAGCTCCTTAAAGGGACAGCTGGGTGCGCCCCAGAGCAGGACACGTGGGGCTGGACGCAGTCTAGGCAGCCGCACTGTCCCGGGGCAAGCACAGGGCCCACCGTGCAGGGGAGGCGTGGGAGGGTCCGGGTCTGTAGGGTGGGTGGGCCCCCTAGGGACCAGTTCCCCAGCACCCCCCACCCCCCCTCCCATCCCCCAGCCGTTGCTGATTTGGAGCATGACCTCAGTCTTGGCCTTCCCAGATGGCCTCTTCCCGGACCCCCTTCCCTGCCCGGTGCCTCCCTCCAGCCCTACTAGGTTCCAGCCCCCACAGCGACTGCCCTTGGACGTCCAGCAGGGCTCCTGAGTGACCCCCCCGCGGAAACTTCCCCTTCACCCCTTCTCGCTCTGGGACCTGTACCCGGGCCTCACTGCTTCCTGAGCTCGAGGCCCCTTTGGACATCAGCCTTGTTGGCACATGACTTTAGGCAAAAGAAGACAGAGTCACCTCTCTCCTCCGAGGTCTGAGGAGGCTTGCCAGGGACACACGCGTTTCAAAGAAGACAGATAGATGAAAAGCAAAGCCAACTCCAGGGGGCATGGTTGGGTGGCGAAGCAAGCACGGGGACCACGTGGTCGTCCTGAGTGCCGCGGTGAGCTTCCTGGCGGACATGGCAAAAAGGGGAATAGGACCAAAGAGAGGCTCTTTCTGTTCAAGAGAGAAGCCTTTTATGACATCATTTGGAGGATCCTTCATCCACGCCTGGAGGGGCAGGTGGGCTGGAGAAGGTGCAGCCTGTATTCCTTCTGGGGCTCTCGCTTCTTGGGCTCCCTCCAGTCTCTTCCTACCTTACTCTGCTTGCCGTGGTCACAGGGGACCTTGACCTTCCCCCAGCGTGTCCAGGTCCCAGCAGAGGGCAGAGGCTCTGGCCAGGGGGCCTCAGGCCAGAGGTCACGGGGGGCTTTGGGCTCAACACAAGCTGGAGAACCCCCGTGATGTGTGTGTGCTGTTCACCTCCTGGGCCTCCGCTCCCCAGGGTGTGAGGCGGGGTGGGGAACCTAGGCTGAGGAGGCGAAGCACTCAGTGACCGAGCGGACGCAGCTAATGCCACCCTGACCCCGTCCCCAGGGGCCACCGGCTTGCCCTGCGACCTGGGAAACTTTCCCTGTGCCCGAGCCGACACTGGCTAGGGATCACGGTGAGGCCCTGGGCCGCAGGATGACCCACGGAAGCCACAGGTCTTCCTTCCCACCTGGCTCTGAGACCCGAGGTTACTAACTCCCAGCCACGGAGAGAGGCCCAGGCCCCTCCGTGGTGGGCGTGCCCAGCCCTCGAGGGTTTCAGGGCCCTCAGCGATGGTCACTCTTGTGCTGGGAGGGTGGGCTCCTTCCCGGGGTCTGGGAATCGCTCACCGTGCACCTCAGGCTTCCTGTTCGTGTTCCCGTGGCTGCACCTGGCGGGATGCCCCAGCAGGTGCTCTGTACCCGACAGGGTCTCCAGCGGGTGCTCCGTATGCACTGGGTGCCCCAGCAGAGCCGGGGTGCCCGCGCTGAGGCCTCTCCTCTCACGGCCCCACCGCCCTCGCTGGGGACTGGGGAGCCATGGGGCCTGTGCCCGGCGACCTGAGGGATGGCGGCTGCGGACCCTGGGTCTGATCCTGCCCGGTGCCCTGGAGCCCCCGTCCTCCCCCTGCCTGCCTGCAGCCCACGGACCAGCGACCCCAGCCTGAAAACAGGGCGGCCACTCCAGGCCAGGCCCAGGGAGGTGACGCGTTTTCCGGCTGGCCTTGCACTTGCCCTGCCGGGTCGGTGCGGGTGCAGGTGTGGGGACGGAGCGCCCGGAAGTTTTGAGGGGTGTCTGCTCTTTGCGGTGCCCACAGAGGCAGGTACAAATTGCTTGGTTTCCAAGTCCCCGACAAACGGGTTTGTGGTGAGTTGCTGGGGGCTGGAGACGATGGGTAACCAGCCCCCTGGGGACGACTGGCGACCCTGGCCTTCCTCGAGGAGGACGTGCCCACTCCGGATGGCTGGCCTCTGTGCGGCCCCGCTGGGGCTGGTCCAGGAAGTGCTCGCACGCCCATCTGACAGGTAGGTAAACCGAGGCCCGGGCGGACTCAGAGAGTGGCTCTGGCCTGCGGCCTGCTGGGGTTGTCTCTGAGGGCGACTCATCCGATGGGCACCACGGGCCAGGCTGGCTGCGCCCCGTCCTGCCTCCGCCCCACACGCTGCTGGGTCCCCAGAACTCGCTGGGGCCTGGGAACTTTGTGGGCCCTGGAGTTTTGTCCTTAACACGTTTCCCTGCATTTTCATGCCAGGGTGTCAGGACGGTAGGGGCTTCTCCACCCGGTTTCTAATTTATTCACCCAAAGCTCCTCAGAAGGACTTTGCCCCCAGTCTGACGGCCTGGCCTCGTGTCTTTCGTCTGGCAGACGGGAAGCTGAGAATTCTGCCAGACGAAAAGCCAGAGGACGGGCCCCCGGCCGTCCCTCTTAAAGCTCCCCTCTGGGTTCAGAAGACGGAGGGCGGGGGCAGGGAGGGGGCGCACAGTGCAGGGTGGGGGCCCGGAGCCCGGGCCGGTGGCTTCGGGGCCTCCGTGGAGCCCGCCTGGCCACTCTGGGCTGTGTGCCCTTGCTGGGCCCGCGCACCGGGCCTCAGTTTCCTCATCTGGACGAGGCGTAGCCATTTAACGCACCCGCAGTGGCGTGGCCCCAAAGCTGGGCTGAGCCCTCGTGGCTGTGTCCCATTCTGGAAGCCCAGCCCTTTGGTGGGCACGGCGGCGAGCGGGGCGCCTGGGGGGCTTGGTTGGCGGAACGCTGCCTCTTGGTTTTGGTTCGGCTCGCGATCTCACGGTTCGTGTGTTCAAGCCCCGCGTTGGGCTCGATGCCGACAGCTGCTGACGGGGCGGAGCCTGCTTGGGACCCTCTCTCTTCTGTCTCTCTGCGCCTTCCCCGCTCACGCTCGCGCTCTCTCTCAAGACTAAATAAAAGCTTAAAAAGACCGCAGTGAGAATCGTTCACGTGGTGGAGGTTTGGGGTTCCCCGAGGCAGCTGCTGGTACCTTGGGGTGTCCCCACAGAAGGCACAGCAGGGGACGGCGGGGAGGCCTCATCACCGCAGGCCGTGAGGAATCTGGGCCTGTCCTGCCTGGGGCGATGGGGAGCCACCGAAGGGTGGAAGCAGGGGGCGGATCCTGACGGACACCCCTCTTTCCTGACT